AATAATAATAATAATAATAATAATAATAAAAATGTGAAGGACTGAAAAAGATCTACTAGATATAAGGTCTACGAATACCAAATAATCTGCACAAATCCTTACAAAATATGTCTATCTGTTTCGACATCAAATTGAATTTAAAAAAAAAAGTGAAGGACTGAAAAAGATCAACTCGACATAAGGTCTACGAATACCGAATAATCTGCACAAATCCTTACAAAATATGTCTGATCTGTTTCGACATCAAAGTGTTTTCAAATTTTGCCTAATTATATTTTGCCTATAGTATGATCACGAAAAACTTAAATTCGTATTTTAGTCTACTAAAACAAAAATGAGCGAAAATAGAAATATAATAGAATAAACAAAAACAATAGTCAGACTCGCAAAAAAAAAGGTTTCAGAAAATGAATAACAACATTAAGGAAATTGTTTTACTTACTTATAACTGAACCCTGAAGGCAGTTCATGATATGTCAAGCCAACCCAACCGAGAGCCAGAGATTAGTAAAGTCAAGTCGCGGTAAAGCTCGCTTACATACTGTAAATCAGTATTAGTGATTGTACTATAATATAAGTATTTGCGATCTCTCTATCTCGCGGAAACATCAAAGAGCACTATGTTATTGAAGAATTCTGCAAAACACATACTCACTTGGAATATTTGAATAATCTATGAATTGTGATGGCGATAATGAATGCTAAAATGACTCAATGGAAAGTTGGAGCTAAAATAATCCTTTGTCTTGCTATCTGCGATCTTTTCACAAATAGAAGATAGTTTGATTTTCCCCTGTTTCCTTGTGTATGGAGATAACAAGTATTCAACGCGGTATGGTAAAAGGAAGTGAAAGAAAATAATCTGATATTTAGATATCGTGGTTAGAGTTCGTACAGAAAACACATAAATAATATTTAATATTTACAAGTCATGGAAATTCGAAAAAGCATGTTAGTATGATCCTTAATATTTTCCCAATTCACGAGAAGACATATGTTACGAAAATATTAATGTAACCCACTCAAAAAAAAAAAATCTTATTCACATAAGAAACTGCATGAAGCTGAAAAGGTCTATTTAGATTCGTAGTTATGGGAAATTTTTTTAGGCTCGAATATACATTTCGCTTTAAAAATATCTATATCAAATTTAGCTTTGAATTAACTTTGAAATTTGCTATTAATAACTTCATATTTGTAAGACTGCCAAGGTTTTGCTATAGCAATAAATAATAGTAATAAATAATAGGGATCATTTCAAAATAATTAATGATGTTGTCCAATGTCGCCCACAATCAAAGGGGGAATTTATATATTTCTTGACTTTTCTTGGGTAAGATCAAAATTTCAATTCAATCTATGGAGTTAAACTCCTTAAAGAAAATGAGCACGTCTTGAGAAGGATATTAAGGATTACCATGCGGGTCCTTGATGTTTTGATGTGACTTCACATATATTATTTAGATTGACTTGGCAATTAAACGCTTTTACTTTAACGTTTTTAGGCTGAGTGTCTCCAAACTACAATATTAATGAATTTTGAAGTGCTTGAATATTCTTACTCGCGGTTAGATTATATTATTATGTAAGATAGTTTTTGAGGAGAAGAGAAGAGAAGAGAAGAGAAGAGAAGAGAAGAGAAGAGAAAAGAAGAGAAGAGGCATAATAGAGTTTTGGTGGACGCCAATCAAAGTGTTTCCAAGCATCGTCGGAAAACATAAAAAATCCTAAGGGCACGTGCCTATGGACTGTCATGGAAACGCATTGATTGACGTCCACTAAAACCTACTCGTCACGATGGCAAATTGTATGATTTTACGCGAGTGATTGAGAAGCGCTCTAAACCACGTACGCTGAGATCATATATATGCCGCAGTATGTACATACATCCGTTTCACTTTATTATGTAATGTTTAATAAACGAGCAGGAGTGTTTTATCGGGTATAAAACACGAGGCGCAGCCGAGTGGTTTTAGACCCGATAAAACACGATCTGCGAGATTATTGAACGGCTTAGAAAACTCATGATGTTTGTTCTCATACTGTACCGATTTCTTTACGAAATGAACCAAGTTTGATAGAGAAAATCCAAGTTAAAGTTTATGCAAATGAAGACGAATCTTTATCAGATATAAAATCACCTTCATGGTCATGATTTCTATTGTGTTTTCTTCATGAATTATTAATGAGTTTTCTAACTCAAAATACATCATCTAGTTTTGCGATTTAATCACTGCTAAATAGTCGAATAAGTTTAACAGATATAGATCACCTTTATCGTTCCTCTTTAAAATCCAACATTTCCGTTCGACTCTTTTTGAAGCGCTGATCATTGAAATAGTTTTTAAGCAGCATGTGGTTTTGGAAAGGTCATATCTTATGTATTTATTTTTAGAATAAAACTAGTTAGTTTTGGTAGAAATTTGTTTTAGAGCCATGTAAACATGGTTTTTGTTTATAAGTTTATCAGTTGTTGTAACGTTATATAAAAACGAAGAGAAGAGAAAAAGAAGAGGTGGAAAGAGAATAAAACAGTAAATTAAAGGACCGGTGAAAACTGATGGAACAAAAAGTGGATAAATTAAGAAAGAAAGAAAGAAGTTAGGGAATTTATTCACAAACGAGTAAGATAAGGAAAAAGCTAACGGCATTTAGACAAAAAAGGGATAAAAAATATATTTGAAGCTTAGCTATTTCCTGTATAAGGAGCTTTTAAGACCCTCGACACATTCAATCAAAATAAAAAACGCAGTTTAAATGAAAAACTAAAAAAGCATCGGATGAAACGAGCGAGAAAGAAATTAAGATCCGTAATCAACTTTACCAGACCATTACCGATACTATCAAGCAATTTCTTCTTAAAATATAATCTTGATATTTCTATTGAATTGTCAACGTTACCTGAGGATTAATACAGCTGACTTGAGCTCTTTGTAATTTTGAAGTTTCTTAGTGTCTGTGCAGCCTGCTTCCTTACTTTTCTCCCAAGATACTTGTTCTATATCCAGCGAGTTTGGCGTTTGAAGGCAGATGATAATCAGATATCAGTAGGGCCTTAGACTGAGCTGATGATGACTGTGTGACAAACTTGAAGTTCCTGACCTGAAATAAAACCGAATCAAAATTTTTTTCTTGCTTCTATGTCTTGACCCGAATATAATATTTCTAAAAATAACAAGACTAGTTGTTTTACACGACCAATTTATAAGGCTACGGCCCGAAAAAGGAAAACAAATTATATATGTAGTTAATACCACATCTACATAAAATACTTGTTTCTGATTAGTTGATAGGCCAATTTGGTTGAACAAGTTTAGTCTTGAAAAAAGGTCGATTCCTTGCTCTAGGGAGCAAATTATCATTGAATACATAAATGTTTTTGTTAACACGTTTTTGTTTTGCACTAAAGAAGCAAATTAAGATTATACACGGCGCTAAGTGTTCTGATAAAAATTCCAAACACAAGCGAAATGTTCCATAGAAACGTCTCATGTAAAGTATGACAAAAAGTGTTCTTTCTACGCGTGATAAAGATGCAAGACACAAAAAGATCATTTGTGGAGAGTTTTTATTCTAAAATTTGAGTTTTGCATTTATGTAGTGAAAGTGGGTGTAGCTCTGGATAAAATAAAGCGGCAAACACGGGCTACGCTCCTTAGGAAAACGAGAAAAATAATCGATACATGTTACTGCCATCATACATGCTAACTCGGTAGCTGCAAGCTGCTCGCAGAAATTTGGCTTCAGGCTTATTCGTCACCRGTTTCTCACACGTTCTATTATTAGCGAATATCAATGGTTAAAGCTTTGGAAATATTTGTGCTGAGCAAGTAGTTTAGATTCACCGTAAACTGTCCTAACTCACAGATTAAACCTCTGGGTTGATCAAAGTCAGGGCATGGTTAACTCACAGATAGTAGGACCCTAAAACAACCTCTAGGCTGATCTAAGTCATGGCATGGCTAACTCACAGGTCGAACCCTGAAACAACCTCTGGGCTGATCTAAGTCAGGGCATGGCTAACTCACAGGTCGAACCCTGAAACAACCTCTGGGCTGATCTAAGTCAGGGCACTGCTAACTCACAGATCGAACCCTGGAAAAAGAACAAACCCGGAAACAAACTTTGAGCTGACCTAAGTCAGTGCGAGGCGCAGTAATTAATTCCGATCACAGATCGGATTGAAATTTAGCGCTGTTGCTGGGGTTTTATATGTTATAATTTGGAAATGCATCGTTTTTAGAACAAGTACGTTAAATGCTCATTTCTTTGCATATTCATAAAAACATCATGGCAAAAAACAAATGAATAACATATAGCGAGTTATAGAGAAATAATCATCTCATTGCAACGTACCAAGCTTCTTCTATTGATTCTATCCTCGATTCTTCCCGACTCACGCTCTTAAAATTTTCGAATCGTTTTTCAGTTTGTATTGCTGGTTTTCAATCATTCCCAAGGGAGTGAAATAACAAAAAGACACGGCAGCCATGTTGGAGGATATAACAAAAGAATTCATTGACAATTCTTTTGTTAAATTCATCCAACATGGCGACTATGACGTCATGTGCAAACGAAAAATAGCGCCCTTTCTATGTAGATACARTCAATGTCATTAACACTGTCCACCTAAAAGACATTTACACATTTAGACTAAAGTGAGCCTGAACTTTAAATGTAAAATTCAACTCTTGAATCGAAAATCCAGAATGCCCCGACCATTTAGTAAGGATTTAAGATGGAGAATGGTATTTCAGCATTTGTTTTATGACAGAACGTTTGAGGAAACACGTGATATTTCTTTTAGTCTAAATGTGTAAATGTGTAAATGTCTTTTTTCGGTGGACAACGTTAATGACATTGACTGTATAATCAAAAGCGCTTTACATCGAGTATGAATGTCAGATTGCCAAACTGATACTGATTTAGCCTAATGAAGCAGTCAAAAGTTATTATTTATTTTATTCTTTTGCGCGCACGCAACGTGGCTTCAAATTCCCAGTCTCATAGCGTCATGCTAATAACTTTGCGCAATAACTTCATTTTTTGGCAGCTATTCATGTTACACTCACCTTTCGTTCGCTGGAACTCAAGAAAGATAGAAACGGGGCACAGCACAGTTCTTTGCAGCTAGTCGAGAAGATACAGCTTCCTTTGCTCTCAATCCTCTTCTTTCTTGATTCCTTGACTTCAATTGACCTCATTTCCTCTCTCGTGCAGAATGGTTCATTAGCTGGTTCATTAAGCTTTCAACAGAATTCTTTCTGGCTGACAATACATAGTGCTCAGTGTTGAACCACCATTTGGAGCAGAGAATGAGCGTTCTTAGACTTTTATCAGCTGATTGAAACCGAGCAATTGCTGGGTTTTACTTGACGTCATTTCCTGTCTTGAGGGATGTAATTCTTTTTGACTGACAGCACTTTTTCCCATATAAATCCTTAAAAAATATTCAATTTTATATTCAATGGCATTTCTCCTGTGTTACATGTTATAAGCTGAAACTTTGCCTTCTTACTAATATCGAGGTGCTCTTTTGATTTCTGGTGTTCATTTTAACACGTCTCTTGTTACGTGGGTAGGGTCACGTGACCTGGTGTTGCAAAAAGGCTTATTCACTGCAATACCAACGTCACCCACTTTTTTCCACGACCTCGAAATGGCTAATTATTCGAGTACGTGCATGTCGTATTTGAAATATGTATATAACCTTTTGTTTTACGCTGAAATTGCTGAAGAAATTTTCAAATATGATACGTCGCTTGAGGCAGAAGTTAACGATATACATCTTAAGGTATAAATTTCAAGTAAATATTTCCCGCCATTTTTGCGACCTTGTGAAACAGAATTACAAAAGTTATTTTTTAAATTTTCGATGACTGAGCAATGAAAGTGCCTATCACCTTCTGGCGATATTCACAGTATTGATCTTACATGGGGTAAGATGATGAATAAGTCGTAAAAATTTCAGTTTGAGTGCGGCTTCTTGAAGTTATTCTCACATTTGTAATTTCATTTCCAGAAGGCCCAGGGTAAGATTAGCTATTCGCTAAACCTGGTGTATTTTATAAATACTTTTTAAACCTTCTTAAATAAAGCTATCATAAATGTTATAAAGGTTTTTCCATGTCATATGCTAATTATGTGACGTATGAGCAGGCATTTGTGGTTATTCGTTGTTCCTTGTAATTCGAAACACCGGCTTCTATGTGAAAACTAACTTGCCATAATTTCTATAAGGTTAATGGGCAAAACAATGACGTATTTTTTTATTTAATTTATCTATGCCAATAAAGTTTTGTATATTATATGATTACTCCTCATACGTCACAGCCATTAGCATATGGCATAGAAATACCTTAATAACTTCAAGCAGATGCACTCAAACTTTTTTCCGCGTTAATTAACCTCTTACTCTGTGTAGAATCATGCAATACTGTGAATATTGTCAGAAGAGGCACTTTAAACCAGAGTGAAGTTGGTGTCAGGTTTTAGAGTCAGATTTTGGAGTCAGGTTTTCGGATCTAGGGTCAGATTTTTTCCGGGGGGCGTCACATCATGTTGAACACAAAGTGCTCTATATTCGAAGAAACGCTTTGATTTACCATAAAACCCACACCAAGCTTTACTCACACGATATTTCTTGAGATTCGTTGTTTTTGGGGATCGAAACACTCACCTCAAAGAAAATAAACAGCGGTTTCAGATTTTTTGAGCTGTTTTATCTACTATCAACGGGCTTCATGCCACAAATACTTCGAGTACCGCTCCCTTATATCGAGTTACTGAACCCTTTTATTTCAAAATGTTGACGCACTTTTTCTTAACGAAAAATATCCATGCTTTACGTCGAATAAGCCAAGCCGTAGTTTGATGTCCAAATATACTGTCGATGAAGCAGTACACATAAAAGCATTAAGAAATATCACTTGATGTCAGATTTTTGAGTCAGATTTTTCTGTCACGCCGCGTGAGAGAGTGATCCACAAAATTCTTTTTTTAACCATTATATTTTTCTTGAATTTTGACATCTCCCAACAAGCGTCATTTCTACGGGATCTTCAAGAACGCATTTGGAAGTCAAAATCTAGTCTCCCGAAGAAATATCACTTGTTGTCAGATTTTTGAGTCAGATTTTTCTGTCACGCCGCGTGAGAGAGTGATCATGTTACAAAGCAGATTACAATACGTGATTATAGGGTTTAGTTAGCTCAATGATCCCCAAAGACAACSAATCTCAAGAAATATCGTGTGAGTAAAGCTTGGTGTGGGTTTTATAGTAAATCAAAGCGTTTCTTCGAATATAGAGCACTTTGTGTTCAACATGATGTGACGCCCCCCGGAAAAAATCTGACACTAGATCCGAAAACCTGACTCAAAAATCTGACTCTAAAACCTGACACCAACTTCACTCTGGTGTCTGATAAGATGCTGAAAAGCATTCTTTATTTCGCACTGACATAAAAATACTAGCGGGAGAAGAAAAAAAAAAAAAAAATAGCGCTGCTTTAGAAGACGCCATTTCTTACAGGATTTAGTTTTCGAATCGAGTCACATTTACTTTGCTTTGCTTAGATTTTCGCTTACATTCTTGGGGTTCATGTTACGTCATAGCCACCATGTTAGTTGACTATACCAAGCATTCCTCATTACTGCGGTTTTCCATATTCTGCGAACTCAGACATTTCAATGGCTTTTTGTCAAAGTTGGTTTTAACTGCCGCCAGTGAAGAATATAAAAAATACCGACTGATTATTTTTGATTGACGGCAGCGAAAAACCTAATTTCAGCGTGCAGCTTGCAACTACCGAGTTTGCAAAATATCGAAACCGCAGCAAGCTTCTCTTGTTAGATCAACCAAGATGGCGGCTGTTTTAATTGTTTTTCGTATCTCAAGGAAATGTTCGGTCACATGACAGCCCCATGATTCAGCGCGCGCCTTACTCGTTACCAGTTTTCTCCACAACCTCAGGAAGACCGAATATAGTTAAAATGGTAAATATGAGTGAATGCAAAATTATATGAAATGAAAAATATCGAAATGACAACAACCTTGAAAAACAAACAAACTATTTTTTACAACGCGATGTAAAAATATTCAATTCGGTATCAAAGGACTGACAGAGACACAAATAAAAGAGAGAGTGTAGAATAAAGTATTTCATTTGTTAAGTGCATCATCATGAAACTGCTGCGACTAATATACACGGTTTTATGGCAGCAAGTATACAATTAATTTTACAGAATTCATTTTTTACACCAGTTACATCAGCCGTTTGGATATCGCAATTTTCCCCCCTTTTTAGGGAAAACCTTTTGACAGACTTCAATAGGTATTTTGAACTAGTTTTGCAGACATTGTTAAATTATCTTGCCATGTGGGTCAGGCATACAAATCTTAGTATAGCCTGAAGCTCATTGGCTACTGATTAGCCAATAAAACTTTAGGATATTTCCTTCATGGTTCATCTTTGCGATGATTGGCTTGATAAATCAGCCAATCAAATTTGACGCTTTCMGTCAATAAAGACCTTTGCATGCATTGGCTGTTTACGTCAAAAATCATGCCTCAAGTTGGTTATGTATGTCAAAATAAATCATAATGCTGATTGGCTGAACGGGTCAGGCGATAAGCTTGACGCTGATTGGCTTTATGGATAGGTCAGCTTGTCGCTGATAGGCTGTATGGGTCAGTTTGTTTTGAGGCTGATTGACTGTAGGGGTCAATCAAGTTGACGCTGATTGGCTGTATTGGTCAGTCCGCTTGATGCTGATTGGCTGTTTATGTCAACCAATAGTTCTCATAAGCTGATTGGTTGCATGAAAAGCTTGATAATTATTGGTTGTTTACGGTAACCAATAATATCAGGAAAAACACCATGAGATCGCAATAATAAAGCAACCAAAATTTGTGTGTTCAATATGAAAATCCTGCGAGAGAGTTGAGGGAAAGATATTCAATTCTCCACCCGGGAGTTTAAATCCAAGAAAAATGGGAAATTGGAAAAGGAATTATGATATTACTGCTTTTGGTTATATACGAAAATAAATTAACCTATATTTATCAAAAGGGAACAAACCACCAGGTGAAGAATGAGGTAAGGAAATAAAAGAAGAAGCAACAATGAATACATAGCACTTGTTGAATCACGCAATCTTGTTGATGATGGCCGTGTGAAGAGAGTTTAACTGTGTTGTCCATCTGTCAAGGCCTGTGAATCTAAACAACCAAAATGAAATAATTAGCCATGTTCGAAACGAGCGAGAACCCCTCTTATTTAAAAAAAAATACATTTTATATTTAACATTTAACATTTTACAACCATCACTGCCCGCGCGTTCGTTCATGTGGGTTTGGGGAAAAACCGGTTTTTGGGGGAACTTTGGAAATTTGGAACGAGCGAGAATTGAAACCGAGCAAAAAGGAAGCGAAGAGGAAGAGGGCTAGGTCTCATTTTTCTCGTGGGCACGTAGTCGAAACAGGAACCCCAAAACGCCGATTCTTCCTCACACCCATCTTCCGTGAGGTTCGCTCCACACACGCACTACCACTACATTCTATACCCAACAACCAACTCTCAATTCATATGTGGATTTATATGGAGGGAGGAAAAGCGGAGAAAAACACTAGTGACAAGGGAGAGAATAACACATTGAATTGATGGTTTTCAACCACTCCCAAGAGAATTGAATAACAAAAGACACGGCTGCCATGTTGGAGGACATAACAAAAGAATTCATTGACARTTCTTTTGTTAATTTCGCCGCCGTGACAACCATCAATAAGGTCAACTCACGCATGATTCAGTCCGAGCCGGCGCTCGAACCTGAACCACAGCGGTGAGACTGGAAGTGGGCAGTAAGCCACTACTCCACCCATGCCACCCTTGCATTTATTAATTCTCTTTGCACGCAGGTATTTGCAATTGGGTCAACCAACAGGGCTTGAGATATTTGAGATATTTGCGAAACGAATGATGATAATAATTATTATTATCCAACTCTACTCAGTAGGGCCTTATAATGACACTACACATATATCTTCATCACGGCTCTACTAGCAGGGTACAGACTGTTGCGCATTTTGCTTGGATGTAGTTCTACTGAAGAAATAGAAAACGCGCTCGCGTGCTGTGTGCAGTTATAAAGCACGCGGGGATTGGCAGAATACGAGAGAAGTGTTAGGAGAAGCACGACGCGTAGCAGAATGCTTCTCGACACTTCTCGGGTGTTCTGCCTATCCCTCAGTGCTTTATAACTCCACACAGCACAGCAAGCAAGTTTTTTTTATAGATACAAGTTACAATAACCGTTATTTTAGATAGGAAATGACGCATCTGAAAGTGCGCGCGCGTGTTGTGTGCTCTCATAAAGCACGCGTTCCCAACCAATCAAAACGCGAGATTTGTAACAGTTATTTTATAAAGAGTCGTGCTCACCTGTCGGCGCTTTGCGATCGTCTGTCGAGCTCTAACAACTGGTTTACTTGATCAATCCTACCGTGAATTGTACTGAAGAAAACAAACAAATAAGAAAAGCTTTAGAAATATTGTGTGTGTATTCTTCGCATTGATAACTAAGACACATCGTGAGTATGCGCGCATCTCACAAATCAGTCAAATCTCACAAATCTCACATGCGCGCATCTCGCGCTCATGTGGACAAGATATTGTACTGGAAAACAAATAAGAAAAGCTTTAGAAATATTGTGTGTGTATACACGCATTGATAACTACGACACATCGTGAGTATGCGCGCATCTCACAAATAAATATCGCGCGCATGTGGACAAGATATTGTGCTGGAAAACAAATAAGAAAAGCTTTAGAAATATTGTGCGTGTATTCTCTGTATTCTCGCATTAACAACTACAACACAGTGCGTATGCGCGCATCTCACAAACAAATATCGCGCACGCGTGGACGAGATTGCATGAGCTCGCAAGCACAGACGTTTATTCTCTGAGTCCTTATCGCGTCTTGGATTGAATTTAGAACCCCAGACATCTAAGAGACCAATCGACACAATAATATCTTTGAATGTTATTCTTTGCAATTAAATCACAGTTAGGCTTACTTATCTAGTATACACGATACCAACAAGCTCTCCACTTCATCTCTGTCAATATTGAGTTCCTATGAGCAAACCAGAGATAATCATTAAATACCACAAATACTAACAATAGTTAGTTTAGCAAAAGTTCTTTGATAATAGACCCCTTGTTGCATGTGACGTCGAAGCAGTTGCATTTTGGAGGACAAAACATACAAAAACAATTCATCTCATGAGAATTGGAAACCTATTGTTATGTCCTCAAAATTGAACTGCATTCCGACGTGTTGCAATGAATGGACCCCTATAGCTTGGCCCAAGTGTTTCCGATTTTATAACAGCAGTTATTCCCCTGATTACTATTTCTTTGTCTGGTAGCAAAATTTGAGAAAATAGTGTATAGACTGTGCGAGGCCAAAACAATAAAATGCTCTCTAATAGTTTTAGGAATAGAGTTGTGAAATTGCGCAAAATGAGAGTAGTGGCATACCTTAGAAATGAATGGAATATGGATTCTTGTATAAGGTCTGAAGATATAATAAAATCGTTAGTAAGTCATTATCGTCATCGTTCTCTGGCACCATCATTATTACCGCTATCATCATGAACATCATCTTCCTCACAGATATAACCATCACAGACAAAACCATCATCATCACCATCATCAGCACCATCATCAGCACCATCATCAACACCATCATCAGCACTATCTTATCATCCATCATCATCAGTCATCACCACAATAGACCTCTTCGGCTCTGACGTAATGTTTTCCCATTTCAGACCACGTGTCATTCCCTAGAGTATCGTTTCTTTGTTTACAAGATTAAGATAGTACATGAGAAGACACATGAATATGGATACAACTCAAACAAAGAATATTATTCTCAAGGGAATGACACGTGGTCTGAAATGGGAAAACATTATGCCCACACCGAGGAGGCCCATTATCATCACCAGGACCACTACTATCATCAATCATCATCATTAACAACATCACGATCATAATCATGATCATGATCATTACCACCACCAAGTATCATCATCACCATCATCATTATCGCCATTATCAATATCAACATCATCAATATCAACACTATGTATTATTTGATCAATTCATTAGCGTAATTAATGTAAGAAATGTAAGTTTCAAATAAAATTGTTTGATAAAAAAATCGACATCATATACCACGTGATACCACTGATACCACGTGATACCATTGGAACCACGTGATATGATGCACAGTCAGTGGTGTACATGTAGCAAGTTTAGGGAGGCAGGCGGGAAGTGAACCTCTCCAAAAAAGTTTAACTGAAGCTCCACCCCCCCCCCCCCCCCCCCCCCTCCCCCCCCCCCCCCCCCCCCCCCCCCCCCCCACACCTTATGACCGAGACCTCCATACACCCCTGGTCACAGTAAAACACATGTATGACTTACTTGATAAGCTTTATCAATACTTGTGTTCTGATGTTCCGTAAAAGATCTGGACAGAGAGAAAAGACAATTGGTATGAATAATCTAATAGAGCTTGTGTAGGAAGTGCATACAGCTGTAAGCAGAGCGCGCCACATTCTCTCCCATCCATACCTTCGATATGTTCTCTTATAAACTGATCATCCATTATGTTTTTTCTGAAGAAAAAAAAAGATATATAAAAGTAAGCCAAGAAACACTTTTACTCTTACATGTGTCAATAACACACGCAGAAAAGTACAATTACCCATAAGACCAGACAAGACGTTGCTTTGGGGTTCGATAAAATAGTCCTTTTCATTCACGGTTCCCTGCACCATATTGAAAAGTAACGTGCGTGTGCATCAAAGCGAAAACAGCAGTGACCTTGTAATGATATACATGTAGATGTGTGAATAATATTGTCCAAGGTGTTAGAAAAGGTCTCTATCATTGAAAAATCGTCCTTGCTTTCATGCACAGGCAAGGTTACCTTTTGAAATAGCAAAGGGAACAGTGAAGGGGRCTATAGAGGTTTTGCACCATCAAGCGCCCATGCCCATAATACAATTTGGGCCGCCTGTGGTTAGATGTCAGAACAATAAAATATCTTTGCTCTTAGGAATTGTATTCTTTCTTATAAAAAAAGATTGTATTGTTCCTGCCAACTAACATGGCTGCCATGACAGGAGGCACAACATGGAGTCGTTCTCCCCTGGGAAACTCAAATCTTTCATGTATAAATCAGATTAGACCAGATTCAATTGTTCCTGCCTCTTCTTATGGCTGCCATCACTTGATGGTGCAAAGCCTCTATTGAAGGATTTATTGAAAAGCCCTTTTCCTTCCATCCTACTGCAGTACACTGTAAGAACAACGTAATGCTGAAGTATAGATGGAGATGCATTTTCTTAATATTATACCTTACCTGTTTGTTTTAAGGATCTTTTCAAATTCATTGATGTCGTCGTTCTGATAAGCACTGACTAGATTTGTCATGGCTAAGATTTCTGGGTCATTCTTATAGGGCTTGGCCTGGGGATTATTTACAACAAATAATATTGTATAATGATAGTTAGACTACAGCAGCAACGAAACAAAGAATGTTAACAACAGCAAAGCAACAACAACAGCAGCTACAACAACAACAGCAACTGCGACAACAACAGCAGCAGCAGCAGCAACAACAACAGCAACAACAACAGCAGCAACAACAACAGCAACA